AATACTTAATTAAAATTATTCTTATTTAAAAGAGACGGTCATATCCAAAATTTTAATATAATATCTAAGTATTTTAATTTATCGTTACATACATAATAATGCCAGAGAGTTGATAAATTTATTAATAGGTTCCCGGATATAAGATTCACCATAAGTAAAGCTTAGTAGGTGGAAATAAACCATAAATAATCCGATACATTACTAAATTTTCCATTTACCAAAAATAATTTGTAATCTACAGATTATAAAGGCAAGGACGGACTTATAGAATTACCCACGGGAATGAGTTTTACGTAGACAATTCGATGTATTTTCCCCCTACTTAGTACCTATTCTATAAATTATTCAAAAATCGTCATTGGCTAAACAGGGTCAAGTAGAACAATAAATTTATTGTCCTATATCTTGATGAATACGCGGCTGTTCTTATTATCAGTGGCATCCTTGAAACTATTCCCATTATGTCACTTCTGTAATGACTAATGCATATAAAGAAGCTTATTGTTACAAATAATATTATGTTGCAAATAGCTAATGTCGAAGACCTTCACTGTCATACGGAAAACCCCCAAACTGTCCACGACCTTGTCTGACGAGGCCGACCCTGGGTCTCGGTACGATTGGAAACAGGATAGATTATTATTAATATTTTATTAATATTGTACTAAATTGCATTGTAAATCATGCGTTAGTGTTAAACATAAATTTAGTTAACGTAGATGCATGTCAACTGATAACGTACGTATGTATACGAAACAACAATTATAGCCAGTTACATATTTGCCAATTATGTAAATGACAAAATACGCGCTACAGGTAGAGGTTTTTTTGTCATATTACATTTCACAACAATACCAATATACCTATTTTGGACTCGTTAATTAAAATTATTTAATCCAATAAGTTGTATAGACAATTTCATGATATCAAATAAAAATTGCGAACCAAAACATTCGGTCAACGTATCCTGTTTCAGTTTTCAATTCCGCCCTATCTATATCGGCATCTATAGGCATAATATTAAATTTTGCAAGAGGTAGAGCACAAGCGGTAGGAGATTGGGGGTGTGGGGGTGTACGTGGGCGTGAGGGCGGTGGTGTTGTAGGGTGGCAGAGGGAACTGTGCGGAGAGCGCGGAGCGCGGTCGGTCGGCTCCAAGGTCGCAGAGTCACAGCCGGGCAAGGTCACCGTGCCCGCGCGTGCCCGGCCGCCCCCGCATCCTCACCCCTCACACCCGATAACACCCTAGATTTGCGTGGGAGGTGACCTTTATCCTCGCTCCTCGGGAATAATTGTATAAATATTTAATGCTTTTTTTCCTAACCTATACGCAACACTGTTATGTCTTATTTATCGATCACTCACTAATGAAAAAGATTTGCGATGTCGCGATGTCCTCTTTCCGTGGAATGTCATTGAAATATAGGTAGGGACTTTATATATATTATAAGGGTAGAGTTACACCAAACAAACGAACGCACATTCTTCTTTCGCTCTTAGACGTGTTTATTCCTTTCATTTCTTAGCTGCATTTTTTAACAGTCACTTGTATAAGTACAACAAGCGCCAGGATGATTCCAAAGCCAAAGGAATCTTCCTGTCAACATAGATGAACTAAATAATGTAAAAAATAGATTGGGATTCTTGATTTTTTAAATCTTCGTACCAAGGAATTTGTATACTTTAAGTGTAAGGTGACTTGATACATATATATACATATACCTAATAATTAAAAAGAAATTGGAACTTTTAATTTAACGTAATCGTAATTTAACGTAAATTTATAATGGGAAATAAACAGACGACCTGTATGAGGAAAAGTGGCTTTCGCTTACGTATAGACATGAATTGCACCATAGACAAAACAATACACTGTATCATAGTGTACTTGTGTGTAGGCTTCCTTATGCATTCCTTATGATCATGCATTCCTTCCTTATGCGTTCCTTATGCCATCGTGAGAACAAAGATGTTAATTGTTAATTTAGGATAAGTATTTTTCTTTCATGACATTTCTACAGTTCAGAGGAGCGTATCAATACTACATATATTACAAAGCATAGTAATGAACTACATTACGGGCAACGTAATAATGTGGGGGAAGGTGTTGTTAGAAATGAACATTAACAGTTTCATTGCTGGCATTATATACACTATTTTAACTACACGCAGTTCCATCCTTTCATTCCCCACAAACAGTCATGGTTAATTACTGATAAATTCGTCACATTAGGCTAAAAGAGAACACACTAATACTAACCCCACTGACGTAAAAAAGGCTAAAATGTTATAACAATTATTGTAAATTTTTTTATGTTTATATTAATAAGTGCCACACGTACACAGCAAGGTTTAGGGTTAGGTATATAATATAAAATTACTATCAACATTTATTAATGGTGTATTGATAATAGGGTAAAATTTGTAGAATAGAAATCAGAACGTCAGCTTGTCTTAGTATCATTACTTTATTATAAATCTTTACAGTATTTTTTTTATACAACTTAGAATGGCAAACAAGCTGACGGTCCACCTGATGGAAAGTGGTAACCGTCACCTATAGACATGAGCAGTACCATGGACATAACAGAGTATACTGTTTCGCCCATGATACTCCCCATGCGTCGTCATTCCTGAGGACTCAGATGTTATTCCTCTTTACCCAGTAAATTCACGCCATATCCCACCCTTTAAACCGAAACACAGCCATGCAAACACAACTGCTTCACGGTTGAAACACGAATGGGAAATTTAGAAAAGTGACCGTCATAAATAGATACTCGTACAATATGGATAGGTAATAGAAGCTTTGACAAATCTCGCATTTATGTGTCGATGAAAAAATCTTAAGTATAGTCAATAAGGTCAAATAAATTTTAATCAGGATTAATTGATTTGAATAATACTCGTATTTTATTTTACTCTAGTTACGGCCTATTTGTATATTAAATTCCTTACATTATTATATAATATATTGTTTTATTTATAACAAGAAGATTAATAAGCATTAGAATACACAGTAATTCCTCACAGAATGTAATATTACATACACATGGTTTACACTAATTGGGGAGGTCGGCATATGCTCATACGTCGCTGCTAGAGGTCTTCCGTAGACAATTCAGATCTAGGTCGCGAGGATATGTAGGCGTAGGGATTGAGGACGAAACCATCTGAATAACACGAATTGACCCAAATACAGCCAGTAATACTGCCTACAGCAACTGTTATAATAAATTCAGAAGTTGGATTTATGAGACAGACTTCATTCGTTTGGTTTACGTACGAGATCCCTTATTACATTACTTACATAAAAAAACTGTATTATACTATCTTCCCGTCTCCGTTGTTATTGGTATTAGTGATTGCATATTATTTTACATGGTTACAAAATAGGATAATTAAATAATATGTTAGTGTAATTATGTTAGTTTATTCAATATCTCTAATTCAAAATTATAAAATCATATTTTATAAAAAGGTAATAATAATAAATTTCTTGTGAAATAACAAGAAATACATAACCAGATAATAGTATATTAAAATTATATTTTAATATGTCACTAAGTTCATCCTGGTTTCACCGGATACTTTATAAAAAAAATGTGAAAATTGAAATGACATAAAAACCTAAGTCTAGGAGGGAGAGATTGTTAGTAATGCGGACTATCAGTTTTATTGTTAGCAATATAACCTGTCAGATCGATTTCCACGTGGTCTCTCCTGGATACCATCGTTCTGAATTCTAGACATATTTACTACGATGGGCTAACTGACCTGCCTCGGGGGAAAGGGATTGTTAGTAATGGAGACTGAGAATCCCATTGCTAGCAATATACCCAACCAGGTCGACCTCCTCGTGATTTCCCCTAGAAACTAACATGGTTAATTCCTGATGAATTCATCATGATGGGCTAACTGGCCTGTTTTCATTCTCATCTATCACCCTTTACTGGTGCTCCACCAGCGTATTCCGTTAGCGCAGCCGGGGCTACCATACCATTTTTACCCATTAAAAAAAACTGACCTGCCTCTTCATCCTCACCTATCATCTTTCACTGGTGCCCCGCCAGTGTATACCGTTAGCGCAAGCGGGGTTAAGATTTCATTATCATCCATTAAACCATTAAGTCTATATAATATTTAATACCTTCGTTAAAGAACAATATATGAAAGACGTAGAACAAAAGTTCTGCAGTTTCATGAAGAATATCTGAATATTAGGAATATCGATACGTCTTAACCGATGGCATCCAAACTGGCACAAACAAAAAAATAATGCTTAAAATCAAAATAAAAAAAAAATTACTGGTTAAAAAAAATGTGTAATATTCTGTTTTATATAAAATCTAAATACAAAACTAAAAGAATATAACCATCTATGACTTAAATAATGATGCGACTCCTGTACGGGGACGATTTTCCAAAAATATGTGAACATATGTCTAACATTATATTAAAAACCTGAATACGTGTACAAATTTCAGTCTACCAAGTTATAAATTGACTGACTTTCATGAAAAGTTTGAACTTAATTTTAATCCTTTAGTAAAAACACTTTATCCCCCCACTCCTTTATAAAAAAAATTAGGTATAATGTACATTTAGCTTTAGTAGTTTCTCCCTAGGATTTTATTTCTTCACTACCAACATATGTACGAACACTTCTTGTAGCGTAATGGTAGTAATTAATGTAATGGTAGTCATTAACGAATGATTATTGTAGCTGTGCGCTACAATAATCATTCGTTAATGTAGTACTGAACATGTGAGGGTGGTGCCCTCTGGTATCAAGAGTTTCTAGGTTGCCTACATAGTCGCGTCAATTTTAACGAGGCTTACTAGACAACATTACATGCCCTACGAAGAAATAATTTAAATACTCCAATTTCACATAATAATTCAGATCCTGACATTAATCTATGGAATTCCTGCACCGTACTAAAACAATTTCTGACTAAACTACTAAGAAAATATTAGAACAACGTAAAATAATGTAACTAGACTATATTTAATTCGTTTAATTAATAGTAAAATTCGATACAATCGAAACGCGTCTACGCAGTAATAACTCGTAAGGAAGTTCATCTGAATAAACCTTAATTAAATTTCGTAGGCAGACTTTGATTAAATTATATTGTATTGTTATTAATAAGGTCTATATTGAATTAATTCTGCCGATTCTTTCTGAAGACTTTTAAGTAATAATGAAACGTTGATTAGCAACGATGAGTTTGAAATTAAATCTGAAAAGGAGGCTTCCCTGATTGTTCCAAGGTTGCGAAACGTACTCAGTGTCCTGGGAGGGCCGCGTGTCGGAGGGAGCGGATGCGGGTGGGCGGCTAAGGTCGCCACAAGGTCGCTAGGGTCACACCACCAGCCACCTATGTCTGCAAACAATATATGTGTATATAGGTACAACATTTTGTCTACTTATTACGAGTATTTCATATTTATAACAATTTTATTATTGGTATTTGCAAGACGAAACGAATACACATACAAAATCATAAGCCAAGGTGATTATTAATTTATTATATTTAATAAAACTAAATTTTCATTTTTATACTTCATTAGACCAATAAATATAATTCTATGGCGTCACTCATTTTCTAAATATATTTTCATAACCTTGAATGACTTGATTGCGTTATAGATAAGTAGATAAGTAGACATAAACGTAAATTAAATAAGTAAAGTTTTTTGCAATCCTACCGACTAATCAATCAAAATTGTTTTATCACTAATATTTATACATACCCAGCTGCGCTAATTTAGATGTATTGATGTTATTATTTCAATATATGTCATTTGTCACTATTTTACACGATTACTCAAAAAATAAACGTCATATACTATTAACCTTGATTCTCATCTAAAATTAAAATAAATATTTTAGGTTTTAAGAAATACTTTCTATTTTTAAAGACGTGCATGTATTATTTTTTCTTTTTTGTGTCACTAATTTAGAAATGTACTAATGGCATTATCTCCCAGGTAAGAGTGAAGCTAGATCGGTTATCCATTTCATAAAAAATCAGGTCCTTATGACGAATATACCAACAATTAACCACGACAGGTGGATTTGACAGCGTATATTGCAAGCAATGGTTGTATTAAAACTGATTACTAATAAACCCTTTCCCAGAATCAGCCAGACCAGGCGTATGAATCTGAATCAATGAATCAGGGCATACAAATTCAGTGTATCACACAGCTTTTTCGAGTTGATATTTTTTAAATTTGTATACATATATTTTTGTAATATGTTCAATAAATAAAGTTTAGTAAACAAGGCTTCTAATAGTATCTCTTATTTAATTTTTTTCACATAGACATCTCGGACGCCCATAGACATCTTGGACGCCCATTATCTATTGTATCTTAAATTCTTCACTCTTTTCCAGATTCGATCAAAAACTGAGATGACTGCAAATTAATTTCAATAACATCACCGTTACGTACCTTCGTAATAACGAAAACAGCTTTTATACATTTATTCATATGTTTTATACATTTCATTATATATAAATACACTGGTAAAATTTGTGTTTTGATAACTTACAACGAAAGAAAAATGACACATATGTAAAATAATGAGATTCTCTGCATTTTATGTGGGTTTGTTTATAGTAGAAGGGTAAATACACAAATCACTTCCGGACAATAATAAAAAGGTATCATAGAAATAGTCATATTTATCCACGCTAGCGATTACCGAGATTTTAATTTTTTATTTTTGTAGTTTAAGTTAGACTAATGGATAAATAGAAGGATGTTTTTTTGCGTAATTCACTCTAGTGAATTACGCAAAAAACATCCTTCTTTTATTGGCATCGCAGGTAATGTCGATATTTATAACTACCTCCAATTTAGAAAAAATACTATTTTCAATACATTTGCTTAATTTAGGACTAAACGGTGCTACGTCATATATTCAGGTCTATTTACTATTAATTTAGAAATAGATTAAAATTAATTCTATTACCATACATAAACGACTTTCTAAAATTCATGAATAATGTCAAACATTGTTAAGTTTATTATCACAACCAATAATTTACAGAATTACCTATTTGATATAAAATTTCCGAACGTATAAAATACTATCCGACCGTGAGAATCACTAAGTTAGCGCTCTAGCTCAAAGCAAAATAAAATAATTGTTTAATATTATATTAACAAACTCAACAGTTTATAGTTACGAGTTCGTAACTACGTGACACCCAAAGTGACATTTGACTATCGAATTGAAAATACACATCGATTAAATACTGTATCCAATATCTTTAGAATTTGACTCACTGTATTTTATTTGTTTAGAACATAATTAAAACTAATGTTAATACTGTTTACATCGATTGTAGGTAGGTAAAAAGGCAGCTCTTAATTTTCTTTTTGTTTTTTTTTTTCTTTTTACTCACTTTTTAAATTTATATTAATACTCAATATTTATCATCAAGTATCACTAGATTCAAATTTTAGCTCTGGACCCGTGTAGTATAAATCTCCAATATATAAATTAAATGAATAAGCTTAATGAACAGTTGAATAGTTTTGTAGGGCTGACGGCCACTCGACCCTGGGAGGACACATTAGCGAGGATGTAGGTCAGTGAGGTTTCGCCCTTGACCTAGGGCGCCGACAACGCGCCCTTCAAGACGCCCCCTGTTTGACACCGCTAAATACTAACAGACAAGGGCATACAAAACTTATTTTTATGCCCCTACTTTATAGGTATTTTACATTATATTTACCAACAAGGACACATTTTTTTTTGTATAAATTAACTGATGGATATTTATTTTATTTATTTTGTTGTTTTCAGCTCCTATTTACCCTGTACCTTTCAGGCGGAAAACAAGGGGAAGGGGACTGTTGCTTAGTAACGGATTGAATTGATCTCCTAAATCGGGTCAATGGAATACAGTTTCATCAATCTATGTTTTGTTTGATAACGATGTACATACTCATTGATATATTTTTTTAAACAACTTTAAAAAAAGAAAACTCTGAATTTAACGATATTTTTCCATTTTTTTACTTTTGTACTCATAAGTTTGGCAAACAAGCAGCCAATCTAATGGTAAACGATCACTGTAGACTATGGATGCCTACAACGCTAGGGATGTCACGTGCGCGTTGCCGACTCTGAAGAAATCTTAATACATCTTTATATTTTATTTACGTGATATCTTCGCCAAATTTAATTCAAATCTTATTATTCTTTTTTTAAATTGATAAAATTAACTCCCGTGTTATTGTTATTCTTCTACTAAATTTATTACCATTGAAGTCGGTAGTTACTATTCCAGAGTAAAATTATTAAATGCAGTAATTATAATACGAATTGTATTATTTGTAGGAGTATGTAGGTTGCATATGTGTAATTAATTACCTATCACGATTATATTGAACAAAATTATTATCCAGGTAGGTGCCTACTTAAAGAGTTTTAAAAATAGCAGCTTGACTTTACCATGACCTTGCGCAAAAATACATTTATCGACATCACTGTTGCGCAGCGTACAAAGGAAAATCGTTTTCGCGAATTATTCCGGGAAGTACTGATAGAGGCGAGTAACGGGTTAGCTGCGATTATTCAGATATCGCAATACGCACACTAACTTGAGTATCTACTTGGCACTATGTATGTATATGAGCTAGGGTGTGTGCGTGTGTGTGTGTGACATTGAACTTCACACTTCACGCGGCGGCGCACGAGTTGCGTAACTTGCTCCGCTCCGCACCACATCGCACCGCCGCGCCGCACCGCGTGGTTGCTGTTACCGCGCTTCTCCACGCGCACGTAGACTACACATCCAGTAGAATTGTAGACCCGAATCCTCCATACCTATTATGAGGTATTTTCTATGACATTGAATAAGAAAAGTGACTTTTGGCTAACAAATTAAAATATACAAAACTAACTATATAAATTTTATTAATCTGAAATAATATAGATATCAGGTATATGTATATTATTTAAAACAAAGAGTATGTTGAGACGAAAGGTGAAATTAAAATAAATATAATGCGCTCTATCTATACCTATCGCATTTATCAATTTTGACTATGACATTGACATTGAACTGTGTCGTTACAATCAGGGTCGAGTTGATTTAGTTCAAATTGAGTGGTTACCTCACCATGATCGTGTCACTGCACTGAAAATATAATAGACGTTCTAGACTTCTCCAAAAAATACTGCTTTCAATATTGTAAGCTTATCCTATTTTCATGAAGTTCCACATTTTATGGCGGAAATTTCTCTACCACTTAGTGACAATCTCTAGATATTGCCCGTTGTGCGTGGGAGTAAACGAAACACTTTCAGGATGTGTCACTATCATAAAATAACGCCAATACCTAAACGATATTTGTTCACTATGAATATATGATGCTAGTACCAGCAAGCTTACTGTTTATTTATTTTAATTTTTATCATCATTAATTTATTGATATATGGAATGTGCCATAACAAAGTGCAGCAATATCAACGTGTGAAAAGTACAGTAACACGTATTTTGCAAAATCTGTAGGGAACCAAATTTTGATTGATTTTATTATTGTAACTGGACGTCCACACGTATTTAGATATTTGCTGTCTCCCAATTGTCACCCAATAATAATGCGTCTTATAAATAAAATTTTAAAGTTTATTTTACTGTAATCTATAATTTATATTTCGGTTAGTAATAGTTTCGGTTAATGTTAGTGTTGTCCTTGTACATAACGTACTAATTTGCAAACGGTCGCTTCCGCGTCGTAGCTCCGCAAGGTCGCCTCCTGTAATAACAATATTTACTGCCGGTGGCCGCGACACAAACGTGGCCGCATCTCATTTGTTTCCGTGAATGATAATAAGCAATTAAATCTTCCTTATAGCACTCGTCGCCTATAATACGTCTCCTATATGATCACCAGATATAGTCGTAGCGATTTTACAATTGCATCATTAGGTTCATTGTCAATACCGATAACTGATTTCATGTTTTATAGAATATTATTAGCTTTTTGACCGCGACTTCGTACGCATCGATATCAGCAATGTTTTTAATGGGCTTAATGAAATGGTTACCCCGCCTGCGCTATGGTATACGCTGGCGAGGCACCAATAAGAGATGACACGTAAAGATGAATGCAAATCAGTTGACCCACCATGACGATTTCGACAAGAATTAACCATGATTATTTCCAGGGAGAATCGCATGTAAGTCGACTTGATAGTAATGGAGCTGTTTACCTGATTACTAACAATTCCTTTCCCCCGATTTCAGGTGTAAGAACACAATAAAATACCTAAACTGTAGTTGTGTACGTATCAAGATAAAACGTACACAACTACAGTTTTAGGAACATAACTGCATTCATTTTGGTGCAGTAACTT